TAAGATTTCATTGTTCTGAGGAGTGTAATTTAGACTTTTCTTAAAACTATACATGATAAAGTTTCCATTTTTTTAAAAGTCAATCAAATGCAGATAAATAAAGAAATTTGAGATTTTGGCACAACTTACAGGGTTTAATGAGTGACAGAGCCAAACCCATTCAATATCAGGTGGAGGGAGAATCATAGGAGGTGTCAATCCATTAATAGTAAGGTCAGATATCAAGGGCATCCATAGCTCATCATATCTGCAAAAACATAATTAATCACCACTATAAAATGTCCTAGAAGAAAGTAGAATCCCAGAAAATCTAAACCAAGATGAAAACCTTCTGATGGATTCAAGAAGGGCAGGAGTTTGGTGGAGGCAGAGAGATTCTGCCATGAGTTTCAGGAAAGAAAGATTCCTCCTAGCAGCAGCTACAAGATCCACAGAGATTGTGACTGTTTCCTCCTCTGGTATCTCACTTATTAGGCTCTTCATAGAAGCAGCTCTTTGATGACAAGCTGACATTCTCAGCTTATAATTCTGAGACACTATATTCAGTTTTATGTTGGTATATATGTATATGCCTTGGAACTTGTCCAGCAATCTGAAGAATCCATTGAAGATGGGGGGATGAGGAATAGCTTCAATTGTGATGGGGAAGCTTTATTTTATGATTCTGCAGGGTAGAACTGGAACAGTTGCTGCCTGTTCCTTAAGACAGGGAGAATTTCGAAAGTACTTTAAAGAAGTGGTTTGTGGAGTGCTTTTTGAAAACATTTATGCTCTTTGAGGGAGATTGCGTTCGAGTCAAATCGGAGACACGCTTCTAACCACTTTTAATGGCTCTTCACTTTTCAGAATTTCTCATAACATTATTGTACTCCCTCCCCAAATTTCTAAATCAATGTAGACACTTTGTTTGATCTTTACATTAAGGGGGCGTTTGTTATTTTACATATTAAAACTTTGCATGTAAAATGATTGCGTGTGAAATGTAGGGAAGCAATCACTTTGCGTGCGAAATATGAATACATCGTTTGGTTAGACGTGTATTTTATTTTTAAATTACATCCAAAGTCTTTACATTGTTTGGTGGAGATATATAACTTTACATGCAATGTGTAATATAAATGTCTAAAGTACCCTTATTTAAAATTTTATAAAACATCTGACACTTATCAACGTTGTGAAGCAACCATAAGAAAACGACTAAGATGAATTATCTGAATTGTATGCCAAGTTGAAACCAGCTCTAGATGAAGGGAATTACAAATCTAGATTAATAGCAAAGCTTCAATTCTATACCAATTAAATCATTAGGTTAATAAAAGTTTGAATTTAAATCAACACACCTAAAAGATATGAAGACTAATTTTATTGCTTGGTTTGATCTAGCATCTTCGTGGAATGGTGAGAGGACTCGGAGGAGATATCTTCTGCTAAATAAATATACGGCCGGATCTTTTTTATTGTAAATAAATATACATATAAATTTTGGTGTGCATATAACTATAAGTGTGGCTAGAATTAATATAATTATAAATTACTTTTTGTTTTCTTCTCTTTATAAAAATATCTCTGTAAAATCATGTTGTTTTTCTTTTTGGCCTCTCATTGATATACTAGAGCAGTGGAGTATATATTATCGATGGAACTTTTTTTTTGCAATGATCCAAAAATTGAATATACATGTAGACTAAAAATTGATACGAAGTATAAAGTTTACCATTTTTTTATATACAAGTATTTAAACTCATAAATTATCATACATTTACAGATGTTTCTCCTTTAACCTTTTCGTGTAGTTGACTCATTAGTCTACCGTATTCTAGCCTAGCTGGATTATTATTATTAGGACCTGAAAATCAAAATTTACTCTAATCATCATGATCATGGTATTTGAGTTTATCCTGAAATTAAGGTACCTCAATCACGGTGTTCCCTTCTCACATTAAATACTCTCAATCATTATGTTATTTAGAGCCTGTGGCTCTTTTTTTGGCTTATCTGGCTTATCAACTAATTTTTAACCAAACACGTAACTTTTGATTTGACGCGCTGAATTATGTAATAATAAGAAAAAGTAAAGTTAGAATTTTTCTAGCTGTATTGACTGAAATTAATGTAGATGACCACTTTAATTATTTTTTCATATAAATTTTCTTTATTTTATTAATAAAATATATTTTAAATATAATTTATTCATAAATTTTAGTAAAATCAGCCGATTTAGCCGATTTCAATATTACCAAACAGATTCTTAATATTTTTCTCAAATTAAAGTACTTTCAAATTTGGTTTTGGCCTTTGAAAAGTAAAATAAACGATAAATATATATCTCCTCGTAGTTTTTCCATAAGTTTGGTTTTGGCCTTTGCTGCCACACTTCAATATCTTACTTTTACTCGATCGGACATTATCTCTTACGGTGTTCAATAAATCTGCTCGCACATGCATGATACATTAAGGAGTGTTTGCTACTGCTTCTGCTTAAAAAAAGCACTTTTGGAGATATAAAGAAAAAGTGATTAATGATAAAAGTTGATAGTGTTTGAGAAAAACGTGATTTTGAAAAGTAAAAGTTGGTAGTGTTTGGTAAGATACGTGTTTTTTGTGTCATGGAAAAGGGAAAAACATTTTTCACACGCAAGCCGAGAAAAAGTAAAAATTGGTAGTGTTTGATAAATAACTGCGTTTTTAAGCCAAGCTTTTTTAAGCCGTCGCAAACACTCCCTAAGGCTTAAGAGTACGTACTCTCTCATATGGTATGCACCTCCGACCTTGTTCTTTGCATATTCTGAAGTTGATTGGGGTGGGTTCCCAAACACCCAACTTTTAGCCGTTGTGTCGTTCTTCTATGATTAATTGGATAAGAAAAATCAATATATATATATAAAAGAGGAACTTTTTAAGAGCATACAAAGCGCCACCTAATCCTGCCATGTCATCCATCATATATAACAATTAGTATTTAGTTTTTTTAATACTCCATTTAATACGTACCTTTCTAATACTCCATCATATATACGTACTTTTTAAATAGATTTCTCCATTTAATCCTGCCACATAAATCAATCTAAGTACTTTTTTTAATACGTACCTTTTATTTATTTTATTAGATTCTATTTTTGATTTAATATTGATATGGAAACAAAAGATTTTATGATAAAAATCCACCTTATTTGGTAACTAACTTTATCAAAACCTATATATTACATACTCCGTATTTGATAATTATTAAATTCATTAAGTGGAACCACAAAAATTAATAATTATTAAACCACAACTTTTATACGGAGTACTACTTTTTATAAGCATGGAGTAAAAATTATTTGATTATTTTTATACGGAGTACTTTTTATTTCATTTGTTTATTTTTACAACCACAATTTAAATATGACATCACTTTTGAAATAGATTCCTAATCCAGATTAGGAAATCTTTGTATGTTTACATCTTAGGATGTTTTTAATTAGATTGATTTCATGCGTATACTAGATCAGATCAGATCAAACTTTAATAATAATAATAATAATAGAACACATAAAATGTAAAACAGACATCTACCAGATCCTATTACTTCCGACCAAATCAAACCCGTAAATTTTAATTCAACTAAAAGCATCCTTGTTAATGGAGTTTTTAATGTGACGAAATAATGAGTAAATGTTAGATTTCACTATTAAAATTTAAAAACATGTACTTCGTATATCATACCAAGTTGAATAAGAAATATTAAAAAAATATTATTTTGGAATGCTCAATAAAGTAATCTAGGCGTTCATAACAATCAAAAATCGTTTTCAATGTCACAAATTAAAAATACTCCATTTTTTGTACATTTTAATAATGAGTAAATCGTATGTACTCCATATTTCATATCAAGTTGAATGAGGAATATGAAAGAATATATTTTGAGGTGCTTAATAAAGTAATTTAGTGGGCGTGAGATTAATGAAGAAGCTTCTATGTGAATTCTTTAAAATCGGGTTCACAATAATTATGATTAGTTGAGATGTTTATGTGGAAGAACATTTAAATATTTTTCATATAATTTTTTCTTTATTTCACAAATGGAGTATTTTTTTTATAATTCAGGATATTCTGCCTATTCAGTCCATTCAATCAGAATTTAATCAGTTTTAGTAAAATAAGCTGATTTCACCAATTTTAGTATTATCAAACGAACACTATATTTAGACTAAATTTATTTTGCTTTTGCATCATATTATATATAATTCCAAAAAAACAAATTGAAAATTAGCTAAATTATGTATTGCCCGTGCATCGCACGGGCTTGAAACCTAGTAATATTAATGACCACGTTGTTGAAAAGTATATTATTTGTGAAGTGAAAATGGAAATGACAGAAAAAGTTAAAATGATAGCGGTGATACATTATAAGCACACAATCGTGAAAATAGATATGCTTTTGTCCATCCATTCAATACTTAATCGTATAAAATACAGAAGTAAGTTCTATTTGTGAGAACAAGTATAGAAGGACAACGCTCCCTAAGAACAAAAATTAATGGGAAAACTGTTAAATAGGTCCTCGAACTTTCATAAAAAGGTCAATTAAGTCCTTCTATAGGAGATTATGTCCGGCCGTCGCGATTTGGGGCAATTCCCGGTGGAATTTTTTAATAATTTTTTTTGAGCATCTTATTCACCAAGTCTAGTTTACTCATACCAAATTTGAGCTAAACATTTAATCGGGAACACATCCAAATTAATTCTTGAAGATAACTGCGCATTTTTGTGTTCTCGAATTAATTTGAATGCGCTCCCGATTAAATTTTTAGCTGAAATTTGGTATGAGTAAACTAGGACTGATGAATAAGATGCTTAAAAAATTTCATCAAAAAATTCCACCGGGAACCGCCCCAAATCGCGACGACCGGACAAAGTCTCCTATAGAAGGACTTAATTGACTTTTTTATGAAAGTTCGAGGGCCTATTTGACAGTTTTCCCAAAATTAATAAATCAAACACAATTAAACATCTCAATTATTAACATGTACTAGTATTTTATAAAGTATTTAAATATTGAAAATAAAAAACAACTGATCATTCCTCCATTGCACATGCTTGTACAAACATAGACGTATTCAAACTCAAGAAAACAACAATGCATCTATCCATCTATTCTTTTTCCTTCAATTCATAGAAATAGAAAATTAAATGACTTAAATTGAAATAATTCCTAAATATATATTCCTACTTGGGTCTAAGCTCAATACCCTCAACAATGAGCCCTCCTTTCAAATGCCCACCCTTAACCTCTCTTAGGCTCACCTCAACCTCTTTGCCACTGTCACAGTCATTGTAAAACTCTCCCAACTCAATCTCCAACCATCCATCACCACGCTCATGAACCACACTCTCTGGTCCTAAAGGGTGAAGCCTAGACTTCAAAGCCTCCACTCTATGTAACATGAAAGCTCTTTCCATGGCTTGTTTGGTGTAGGAATTCTTCCGCAAATAAACGACTCTATGGGATTGGAAATTCCCAAACTTGACTGAAATCTCGGATGGAAGAGAGTCCAATCCAAATGCACGACCAGCAAGCTTGAAAATGAAATAGGCTCCATATATTGTATTAGAGGACAACATTCTTGTGCTTATGTTTGCTTTGATTTCTAGCCAACATATCATTACAAGCTCAACAATTTTGGGGAACCTGGTAATTAAGAATAAAGAAATCATGCATGAGATTAATTATGAAAAATAATATGCATATAATTAAGAATATTATAAAATATATTATTATTTGATTTGCACATTTGACTTTTCTTGGTCAAACATTTTCATTTTATTTGCTTAATTAGGATGTCAATTTTTATTATATTCTAATTTGGAGTTTGCAACTTTGAACATATTTTAATGTAGTTTCTGAATATCTAAATTTTAATTATTAAGAATTGAGTTATTTGTTGATAGGGAGGATTGACTTTTATTATCGGTTGACCAAAAAATGTTGACCTTGGTCAACAATTTGGAACGGAGAGAGTATACAAAGAGATTGAAAGTTTATACACTAGCTAGAGCCTAGAGGAATTTATGAAATTAATTACCTAGAGCCCAGGAGGGGTTTCCAGCTCCAATAGAGGGAATTGCCAGAAAATGCAATTGAAAGTTCACTTGCACTAAAGGTGTAACACTTCTTGCTGCTTTCCTTATCAATGCAAAACGTCTGCTTGGAAGCAATGGAACATGAAAAGTTAAAGACTTATATACTCTCTAGTCTATCCCATAAAACTCGGTCATATATTGTTTTTTTTGTTAATGATATCAATTATCAAACTTTGAACAATGATTTTAGTTATCGTATTTGTGTGAAAAGTATAGATTATTATTCTTTTATGAAGGTATTTATAATAAAGAATACTTTCACATACTTTTATATTTACATAATTTGTATTTAGAAGATATCTCATCACCATCATTCACAGGAAAAACAAATAATATGGCCAAGTTCTATGATACATAATTTTCAATTTTAAACATTAATTGAACTAGCTTAGCTTTTGACTAATAAAATAACCACATGTGAAATGGCATGCATCAACATCAACATATACATAAATACATAATTGCCTAGAGAACTAGGAAGTATATACTCCCTCCGTCCCATTTTAGTTAGCTAAACTTGATTTTTCAAGTCAATGTTGTCTAATTTTGATTGATTTTATAGAGAAAATATTAATAATATGAAAAGTGATATGAAAAAGTATACTACTAGTATCATAATTAAATTTACATATACTCCGGCTGAAAAAGTATACTGCTAGTATAAAATAATTGGCCAAACTTATCAACTTTGGCTGAAAAAGTAAAAACTAAAATGGGACACAGGCAATATATTAGGAGTACAATTATATACTACCTTCATCCCAAAAAGATTGACCAATTTGACTTTTCTTGATCAATGGTGTTAAAGTTTAGACAATGATTTTAGGTATTATATTTGTGTGTAATTTATAAATTTTATACTTTTATGAAAGGTTTTTTAATAAATAATAAGCTCATATAATTTTCATATTTTAGATAATTTTTTATTAAAGGATATCATTGGTCAAACTTGAACATCGAGAAAAGTCAAATTGGCCAATCTTTTTGGGACGAAGGAAGTATATTTGATGAGAAAATTACCTTATGGCCTCCATCTATGAGAAGAGGGCTGAAAAGCTTGACAAACAACTCTTTCTTGGACATGAATCTTATGGGAAACACTAATCTGCTTAAAATCTCTGGATAATCAGATGGCAGAAAAGTCTCCCACAGCTGCTCTGACTCAGCGGCGGTGCGTAAAGCCGTCGAGACCAACGACAACCGGGAAGCCAGGCGGGGTGGTACACCGGAGAGGATTTGAACGATACAATCCTCCGGCAACTGCTCCAGCAGGGTGGCAGACGCCATGGCCAGCTAGCTTGGCAGCTGGTAGCTAATTAAGCCTAGCTATATGAGGACATTAAAATAAGATGGAGTAATTAACATATAATTATATTTGTAATATATAGAGGACAGTATATTGTAAAAATGACGACATGGAAGACACATATGAGGACATTTTAATGTCATCCCATCCCCGCCAGTTTAGCTCAAGTGTCTCCAGTATCCTCATCTCTCTATTCCATTCTATTTATTCTATTCTATTGTTTGCTAATCCATTTATTTCAGATAATATTTAGAAGAAGATTAGTGAGGGAAAATTAAATAGCCTCAAAAGATACAAGACGAATAACCAAAAAGAATAATAAGCAAAAATAATGAGCATAATAATTGAATATTTTTAAACAAAAGTGTGATCCAAGTCATCGAACTATTAAAATACTAAAAAAAAGTATATCAATTAACAACTGATAGTCCTATACCCTGTGGTATACATATCCCTAATAATGTTATATACTCCGTATTCTACTTCGTATATGACCTAATAGGCTAATATAATAGGGATTACGTTTTTTTTAAATGACATGATTCATATGAAAAGAAATGTGAAAACATTGGAACTGACATTTGACGACGCCAGGCGAAAGTGCCATAAACCAAAATTATATTAGTCTCATGCACGGAAATAGCATAAACAAAAATTTGTATCATACGTAGGCCTAATCTTCCAAATGGTGATTATATATCTTTCCTGCTGTTCCATTTTTTTTTACAAAAACTTATAGAAGTAAGATATTTACATATGAAATATATGTGGATAAATAACAGTTTTTTGGAAAATAATTGCGCCAAACTAAACATATAAAACACAGTCATTTTCAAAAATTTATTTGACTGCACTCCCGATCAAATTTTTAGCTAAATTTTTTGTGTGGATAAACTAGATTTGATGAGGAACATTCCCAAAAAAAATCATCAAAATATTCCACCGGAAATCACCTCAAACGGCGGCGGCTGGACGGAAGATCCGGTCCCTTCGACTGGAGTGCTGGACAGGATCTTTATATATACAAGTATATTTATACTTAATATTTGGTGGAAAATTTGACCCAATTTAGCTCTTCATGGAAAAGTAGGTAATATGGGTTATCTTTTGATTTCTATATATGTTCTTTAAGTAAGGTGTAGCCAGGATAAAGCTTTGGGTGGACCAATATACAAAATTATTTCAAATAAATTTTTACACTAAAAATACAAATAATTTTAAAATTTGAGGTGGGCTGGCCCCCGGTTACCCCTACCTCTGCTTCTATCTTAAACCCTACATATATAACCAGGGGCGGAACCAGGGGGCAGTGTGGTCAGCCAACCCCCTCAATGATTGAAAATATAGAACACTGAAATACCACCGATTTGATACGTTATAACCCTAGTAACTCACTACGATTAAAAAATTACGACTCTAGAAAAATAAGTGTCTAAACTCGAAATGAGTAGAATTTGATGCAAAATATTGATTTTATTATTCTAAAATTTAAAAAAAAACGTCTAATTCACTCACTACTTACGTGAGTTATATAATGTATATGACATGTATGTAACGCTTATAATCTATTAGTATCATTTAAATTATTGTTAAAAAACGATTTAACATTTTGAAAAGGATTTACCTTTTTATTTAAATTTTATGGTTATCAACCATTTTATTAATAATTGTATCAAATTACAAAAAAACGCATGAAATGATATGGAAGTAGTAACATAACACGAAAGCGGAACACGAGGAAATTAACACCATATATAACATTAAAGTACACATTAAATAAACACTACAATTTTTTTGACGAATTGATCGATTTCATACCAAATAACTTGTGACAAGATGCACAACTTTGATGTATTTCTGCCAAAACCTCAATCAATTTTGGCGAATCTTTATCAAAAGCCTGCGCCAATCTCGTTTTATATAGTGAAGACGCGAGAAACATACTGAACTTTTTTTTTTGAAGAAGAGAAACGTACTGACCTAGTTGATTAAACTTTGTTTAAAATGATAAGAGTGGATCACTAAATTTTGCACGTACTGCTGGCTATTATTCGTTCCTTCTTTGCAACAAGATTTTTCTTACTTTGATATATATGTTGGTCATGATATCTATTAATGAGTAAATAATTGATTTCTATTTATATGTAGTGTCAATTGGCCCTAGCTTGAGGCCGTAGAAGCAAGTAAGCAACACTTATTTCCTACGTGGAATGTGTTAAAACGATGACACATTCTAATAATTTTGTGTGTCATAACCTTAGTTCCCAAAATAAAGCCACGACATCACAACCCATGCCATAAGTCGTTACATGATAATTTTCTAGAGGATATACATAGTACTTCGTATATCTCTTTAATTTTTAGCCGCACGTCTTCAAAAATTTATTTCAATACCTCAAAAGTCTAATATGTGTTCAGCGTTTGGAAATTAAATAATTCTTTTCCATGAAAAATCTTATGTGTTGAACACAAAATTTGTGTTCATCATGCACCATCTGGAAATAGCTCTTCCAAACGTGATATAAGTTTTTGAAAACATATGGAAATTGAACTTGAATAAATGATCAATAAAGTTGAAAGATTTATATTAGCATGAAACTCTGGAAAAAGCTCTTGTACAATTAACCTCTTCGGAAATGAAGAAGAGGATACTACTACAATGAAAGAGTTTTCCTTACACTCCATTTTATTGTCCAAATTAAACTTTATATTTCGTTTTTTAAAAAATGGTTTTTGCACCCCAATCTCGTATGAAAGGTCAAAAATGCCCCCCCATTAACAATTATGTTGGCTTTTAACATATTCCTGAACAAGAGGCATGTTTGTCTTTTTATATGGAGTTAGAGTGCAAAAACAAATTAAAGATTTCTTAAAATAGGATGCAAAGTCCAATTTATCCCTTCCATAAAACTAACAAATAGTTACGGAGTAGTTACTAACTGACTACTAACTACATAGTAAAGTACTCCAATCTAAATGTAAAATCGTGATTCCACATTAATATAAAAGGTAAAAACACAATCTCAATCTAAATACTTATACTCAAACCAATTGAATACTCATTGAATAATGTAATAAAAATTCCAAACCTTAATTACTTAATACGTAGTACTTGATTTAATGGAACAAAACTAATTACTCAAACAATTTGAGTAAAAGAGAATTAAAAAGATTAACGGAAAAATGATGAATCTTTATTTTTTCTTTCTTACTAATTTATATTTTTTTAAAAAATTAAGACCCCATAAATCGGAATCCTATTCTGGATTACGGTATTCTCTAGTTTATTTTTTGGGAGTTACCTATTATGCTTTGGTAGTGCTAACTAATGTTCTAACTTTGAGAAGTTATTAGGATCGGTCATTTAAATGGCCAAATTAACAGTAAAAAATGGTCATTATCCAGTTAATTGGTTCATGTGAAATGTGATTGTCATTTTGGAGTGGAATTGTGTATGTGAGGTTTTTTACTAATTGACCTCTTTGAAGCAGAAATTTGACTGGGTACGAAAAGCAGCACAAACACTTCCTCATTGTGACTTTTACATTATTCCCAAATTTTACTTTCACCACACTTTTCTATTAATATATATAAGCAAATTATTATTTATAACATGTTATAAAATTTCTATTAATGTGAATTTTCAAAATATTATTTTTACAATATTCACTAAGACGTAATTAAATATAATCACAATCAAAGTTGTGTGTTGGCAAACGTGAAAGTCAAACTGTTGCGACTATTAAAAAACAGTGGATAATATGTAGTGCTCAACAGTGAGCAGAGTTTGTGATCTGAATTAGTTTGTGATCTGAATTAGTTAACGAGTAAAAATGATTTTGAAAAATGTGCTTAATAATAAAAGTTTGTAATGCTCCAAAATAAAATGGAAAATTTGACTGGAATAATCTGAACTATTAGTCGTCCGCTACTATAGCCTCTCTACGTACTATAGCACTGATGAACATAATCCTCACAGGCTGCATTGATAAAGAACATACAAGCCACTACATGACAGCATGGAATACCACTAAGGTCCCACTTTCTGCAAGCACAACTCTGACTTTCCAAGTTCACAGTCAATGTATCTAAATAATGGCTAACCTGAAAAGACACTTCACTAGATGGTAGAGGGGTACAATGGGCTGCATGATGTTTTTCTTTCTCTAATCTGCTCATAATTCTAGGAGAGATGACAGCCACACTTTTTCCATAGCCTGCCTTTTCATCACCATTCTTTGCATCAAGGCACCCCTAATATCTTCTAGCATAAAAGCCATAAATATAATATGTTTGGCTCTAGCATTGATTATGTAGCCATTAAATGTTTCAGCCATGTTGCTGACAATGACATCACACTTACTGTTTCTCCGAACACAGGCTCTACAAAATACATGGGGATTACATGCCTTGAAAGCAACCACATCACTTGGATTAACCTTTTCCATTTCATCTAGTGCATCATGCAAATCAGCTTCATTGTAGGCCTTGATAGCTTTCCAGAATATCATTTTCAATTCATCGCCCCTATGTGTTTTGTGCCAATTAGCAAAAATATGGCGTGCACAGTGTCTATGCTCTGCCAGTGGGAACACTACTGAAACTGCATGCAATATAGACTGCCAAATGAAACAAGTATTAGATCAGTTCAATGTGAAATCAATGAAAAGTAAAAACAAGTATTAGATCAGTTCCTTGTGAAATGAATGAAAAGTATAAACAAGTATTAGATCAGTTCCTTGTGAAATGAATGAAAAGTATAAACAAGTATTAAAGCAGTTCCATGTGAAATGAATGAAAAGTAAAAACAAGTATTAGATCAGTTCCTTTTGAAATGAATGAAAAGTATAAACAAGTATTAGATCAGTTCCTTGTGAAATGAATGAAAAGTATAAACAAGTATTAAAGCAGTTCCATGTGAAATGAATGAAAAGTAAAAATAAGTATTAGTTCAGTTCCATATTAAATGAATGAAAAGTAAAAACAAGTATTAGATCAGTTCCTTGTGAAATGAATGAAAAGTATAAACAAGTATTAGATTAGTTCCTTGTGAAATGAATGAATAGTATAAACAAGTATTAAATCAGTTCCATGTGAAATGAATGAAAAGTAAAAACAAGTATTAGTTCAGTTCCATGTGAAATGAATGAAAAGTATAAACAAGCATTAGATCAGTCCAAAGCTTACCTGGTGTTCATCTGAAATAAAAGTCAGGTCAGAACCATCAGAGTCTCTTACATTTTTCTTCAGCTCACACATAAACCACTCCCAACTACAGTTGTTTTCACCTTCTACTACTGCCCATGATAATGGGAACATTTGCTCATTGAAGTCTCTCCCAACAGCTGATAGAAGCATCCCTCCTAGAAACGTTTTGATGAAGCACCCATCCACACATTAGACTTTCCTACTAGCACTCAACCACCCATCTTTAATCCCATTGAAGCATACAAAGAAGCGCTGGAAGGTGGGGGGAAAGCTTTGAGGTTTAGGGTCTGTGAGTAATTTAAAGTGGTTGAGGGGGTTAGCTTGGTTTAAGGCTTCCAAATATCTTCCTAGCTTATTATAGTGATCTTTCATGCTACCATGGAGCTTCCTATGTGCATGGTATTTCACTTTATATGCATAGTCTCTCTTAACAAGAACTTTATAACCTCTCCTAATGGTCTCAATTATTTCTTTTGTTGGTCAATGAGTTCTAGACTTAAATACTTCTAGGAATTGCTCTGCCACCCATGAAGCCTTCAATTGCCTATTCTTTTTCATGTTCTTATTACAACTATGCTCCCCTTTGAAAGACTTCACCACAAAACTAGCCCTCCTACAATCGCAACTCGCATACAATCTAAAAGGACAACCCTCAACACATTTAGCACCAACCCTTTGTTGCCTACCCTTACTACTAACATTGATCTACAGATTCCTGCCTTGAGATATTGCAAATCTAGCAATTGCATCCTTAAATTTTTCTCTATTTTCAAACCGCATACCAACCTGCCAAATCAACTTACTGAAATTTGTATGTGCATCCACCATAGCAACTCTATCTCTTCTCTTTCTTGGGAGACTATCTTCATTATCACTTTCCACTGGTGTGTGGATATCTTCTTGAGATTCTTCATACTCACAGACAAAGTCATTATGATCTGAACAGTACACCCTGTAGATGAGGCTTTTTTACCCCCAACCACACTTTCAACAGCTTCCTTTTGAAGTTGTTTTGCAATGTCAACAACCTTTGAATCCACCCTGTAACTCTTCTTCTAGACTCCAGGAATTCTTCATTACTTGTGTCATAATCTAACCCAAACAATGGGACCTCTAACTCCTCTCCAGCTTCCATTTCAACATCTCCACCTTCTTTATTGTGTTCTGAATCAACATTATAATCATCATCAGAAAGGTCAGAAGCATTTACATCACTACCTCCTTGGGTAGCTTGTGCAGCAGTACCTCCTTCACTTGTGTGTGTTTCCCCACTCTCTTCCAGCAGCCCTACAAGTTCAGGTGTACTGACTCCATGTTTAATGTACAAATCTATAGTACTACGCAATACTACATTATACATTTCCCTCACCTCAGCATCAAACTTAACACTTCTCAAACCTGTCTCCAAAGTCTTACCAGGGACCAAGTAATAGATTTCATCTATGCTACTATATTTCCCACACTTGCCAGCTAACTCCTCTAACCAGAACCAACATAGTTCATCAGCATCCAAATCAAAACATCTAAACTGACCACCAGCATACTCTAAATTCCCTTTACTATCCTTCTTAAATGTACCTCCATGCCACATCTTCAAAGTAACCACAATATTTAAAGCCATTCCCTTTTCTTTAATTTACAACCTAAAATTAGAACACAAAAAGGAAATGCATTTAAAATAGTAGAATCAAATAAAGGAGGAGCCTTCTACTAATAAAACACTCCGTCTGTGTTAATAAAACCCTAAAAATCACAGAACTCCAATTAAGTACATTTGTAAGTAATATGCCTAAATCGACTCAGATATATAGCTATAATTACATAGGCTATAGCAAGTATTTAAATTCTTAAAAAAACTAGAATTTAAGGCAGAAATTAGAATGAGGATTCGTGATATTTGTTTTCTCAAAAAAAAAAAAAACATAGGCTATAGCAAGCCTTTGTGTTAGTCATTCAAAGACTTGGTAAATCATTCATATATCTTCCAAATTGAATTAAAATTGTACTACGTTGCAGTAATTTAAAGAACAAAATCAAAATTTGTACCTTTCCGTTTTGCTTGACCGGACCACAACCTTCAGCTACTTCCCTACCAAAACAAACAGATTACATGAGCGCAAACGTAGACTAAATTCTTAGGGTGAACAGATGAAAGATTAAAAGACATTAATGGTGGTGCAAAGAAAATGAAGACCTACCAGTTTGTACGAAGATGCATTCATGGTTAGCGAAGTGAGGAGGATAAGGGGTGCGTGATGCATTAGTTATGTATTTTTTAAATATGACTGATTCAACCGGTCACAGGTGACCGCGGTACAATTACGGAAGACAGCCCACCAAGTTGGGATTAAACATAAATAACACATACTACGGATTATTAGAAGCGGATGACTAATAGTTGGATTATTCCAGTCAAATTTTCCAAATAAAATTGATTTAAAAAAATAAAAGTTCAGGGCCTGTTTACTAACATAGACATTTTTCAGTTTTCCCGAGAATTGAAAAACTGGAAAAAGGAAAACAGAAAACGTGTTTACCGAAGAAAATTGCTGGAGAACTGGAGAAAGGAAAAAGAAAATTGTGTTTACCAAATCGTTTTCCAAAAAGAAAAAAATGAGATATGTCTCTCTTTTCCAAGGCCGGCCCAAGGCAGGTGCACCCAGCCCAACCGCACAAGGCCCTTTATTTTGGAAGGCCCAATTTTTTTTTATTAGTAGTATTACTCAGCCCAAGATCCGATCATCTGAAGCTTTGAACTGCGAAGGTAATAGGAACGATTGAAAGGAACGAACGGAACCCCAAAGTCGCTAAGTCCAATCCGCAAGTCGCCAAGTCCAATCGCCTAGCTTGGAACGAACTGCGAAGGTCGAAGGACACATGGGACAAGAGGTTCGCCGCCAGCCAGGAGCCCAGGTTCAAGTCTCCACTTCTCTAGCCTGCCACCACGCAACGACGGCCGCCTCCAGCTCCAGGAGACCAGGACCATGACCGCACCATTGCCCTAGTCCGGTAAGCATTGCTGTACTATCATCAGTCTGTGATTTTGCTATTTATTTGATTCTTTGAATTACAAATTTGTGAAATTTGTTTGTTCTTTTTTCAGTTTGTTGCCTACTTGCCTTATTGTTATTTGCTTATTTATTTTAATAATTTATTACTCCGTACTTATTAATTAAGTAATTGAATTGAGAATAAGTGTGTTTAAACATTATTCAATTTTGGTTTGAGGAATAAAAATTATTCAATTAAGAAATTGATTAATGTAAATATAATTTTAACCTAAAATTTTTAAACATGTATCGGAGGGGAGAACTTGAATAGTTGGTATTTGCTAGTCATTATGTTTCCAAAGAAGTACCCTTCTAGTCATGAGAAGCTTCTAAAGAAAAGAAGAATTGATAATTTAACATTGTCTAAAAAAGAAGCTCTTGATAAATTTATTATTAAATAAGCTAGCGAGGTTCAAGAGGGTCAACAACAAAATGTAGATGTTTAAAACAATGTTGAAATACCCGATCATTGTGGTAACGACATGGTTGAGAATCTTGATAAAAAAGACATTGTTATCAACATTTTAGCCGATAAGCCGAATAATTCTGCTTTGTTTGACATTTACGATCCAAGGACATTGTTATCAACGTTTTAATACAAATCACTTTTGTTTGGAACGTGGGAAAAAGACCAAATTTTTTTCGTTGCACTGGGCCTCCGCCCTGCTCTTTTCCTTAATGAATTGGAGAAGTGACTTTTACTGGTTTCCAAATTTGGAAAACGTGGATGCTACAGTGCCGCTGCAATGAATATGCATACTTACGCCTAATGGTGGATCCGATCCCGCGCCGGTGTCAGTTCCATTCCGATAAACGACTCTACGGTCCCTATCCGGTCCGGTTAACGACCTGACAGTCCGGTTCAATCATTGACTTGCCGGTCCCTGTCTAGTCCGATCCACAACCAGGCGGTCCCTGTCATCGACATGCGGGCAGTCCCATACCGATCCAGTATGGTCAACGACTCGGTGGTCCCCGTCCGATTAGGTCAACGACCCGACGATCCCAATCTGGTCCAGTCGATGACCCTATGATTGGCAATCTTCCATCAGTTTGGTCCATGATCCCGCTTCCCCTGTCCAGCTCGATCCACGACTTGGCGGTCCCTGTTCGGTCTAGTCGATGACCCATCAGTCTCTGTCCGGTCCCATCGATGACCCGACAATCCCTGTCCAGTCCGATCCATGACCAGGCAGTACTTGTTCGGTAAGGTCAACGGTCGGGCAGACCCAGTCTGATCCAGTCTGGGTCAATGACTTGACAGTCCCCGTCCGGTCCGATCAACGATCCTACAGTCCCCGTCCTATCAACCATCTGATTATCCCCATTCTATTTGATTAACGACCGACGGTCCTCATCCTATCCAGCCAATGACCCGACAATCTGTATTCAGTCCGATCGACGATCGGGCGATCCCGAGGCAGCCCCGTTAATGACCCGGCAGTCTCTGTCTGGGCCGGCCAATGACCTGGCGGTTCAGTCTTGGTTTTTTGAAAAGTCATTTTGTAAAGTGAAGATTTTAAAAAGAGCATTGAGTTGTCAACCAATAGGGAAATGGAAAAAGAATTCGACAAACTAACCGTTGAGATCGATCGGGATAGGCCGATTTTGATCCCGGCTTTCCTATATGTAGGACCTGGTACCCTACTTGGGTTGTACTAGGTTTGATTTCGGAATGTGCTCGTACTTTCGGTCTTCTAGATGATCACATAGTCGGGTGAAAAATTTGATGAACATGTTTTCATGTTTGAAAATGGAAAACTAAAAATGAAAACGGAAAATTGGAGATAGAAAAACAGAAAAACGAAAACATAAAATTGAAGAACGGCCGCTATAAAAACATAAAATTGGAGTTTTTCCTCCGCTATCGTTTGTATCGCAGAGCGACCGCTGCAGGCGGGTTTTGGCGTACATGGTTTCTTCTTTCCGCCATCAATTGTGCAACTATTTTTCTTCTTTTGCTTTAGCGAGATTAAGCGGAGGGAAGAGGATGTGTGGTCTCTGGCGGCCGAAGGTTGTGCATGGATGGAAGATGGATGCTTGGTCTCCGGCGGCCAAAGATCATGGACGAAGTGTGAGGCTTGAGGCTGGAACATATTTGGATTCGAGGTTATCTTTGTTAGGTGGCGACAAAGGAGGCTTGATAGAGAACATGATCAATAAGAGGCAAGGTGAGGAAGAAGCTACTGCATTGCTGAATCGTCCCCTTGTTGAACCACCGTCATGGAGTGCAGGAGAGTCTAGAGTTTGAAAACATTTTTTTGATTTTATTGTTTGCTTGTGATCTATTTTTTTATAAGCAGATTATTTATTTTTCTGTTGGTTATTTTTATTATTGTAAGGATTTTTTCTTTTGGACTATTTTCTATCCCAGACCCGGCCAGACCAACAAATTTCAGTCCAAAAAGAAAACATCCTAAGAACCTTACAGTAGGATTGGGTGATGAGAGGTCTGCTTTCATCATTGTTGGCTCATTTATGCCTATTATAGGATCAACGAGTTATAATGTTTTTTTTAAGGTAATTGATTTTAATTCTGGTTCGAACGATGACTGTTGCATGTGGTCTTTTTATCATTTTAACTCCGCATGCTAATGTCATGATATTTATTTACAAAAAGCTGTTTGTACCCACTTTTGTACCCACTATGTTTGTGCAATTTTTTTTTGTCTATGACTCTCACTCACAGATAAAATATGTCTGTGCAAATTATTTTATACTACGTATGTGAATTGAACTCACAGACAAAAAACTCTTCACAAAAATAATGAGTATAAAGTGGATATAAGAGTGTTTATAACAAGAATAATTCTAATTTAAGTGCCCTCCTAAAAAAAACCTCATCTGTTTGCAAGAATGCCTCTATTATCTTCCATGGCGACAACCTACCCTCTCCAACCTCAACTCACAACCTTTCTCACCTCCTTCGGGAAGCACATCAATTTATCACACTTCAATGGAGCCGCTCTTTCGCAATCTCGAATTCTTCGCGGCTCATTGCGGACGCGCACAAGAAGACTGTTTCTTCCTTCAGTCTCCGGCCTCTGGGATGCATTAACAGGCGGTAACTCTTCACGCGAAGCGGTGGCAGCTACTCGCCGCGGAATGTTTCTTTTCAGACAGGTAGATCTATTGGAAATTGTTTATGGATATTGTGATGGCAAGTGTGCCGGTGTGGTTTGTCTATAGGCTTAAGTGTCTGAATAATTCAATGTTTTGTATGAAGGGAGATGTGATGGGGTCTTTGGTGGAATTTGACAGGGCAATTGAGCTTGATCCTTTCCAGAAAGAATGTGAGAGTATATATTATTAGAGCAATTTTCAGCATGAATAAATATGCAATATGTATTAAATACATTATTTTTGTGCTCTTGGCCTAGCTTGGAAGATATTTTATTCACTTCCATAATTCATGAATATTTAACCCGATACTTCTTTAATTCTTTTATGGCCTATCAGATAGCTTTAGGAAGTGTGAAGTCGTTAGCTAAGTAGCTCAGAAAAAGTATTCTTGAGATATATAAGAGGCTAAACGTAGGAGAATCTCATAAATGTAGAAAAACTAAGGATATATTTATAAAAATGCTTCATCAAATGTAAGTATATATTTTTTTTTTTTTGCATTTATAGATGTATATCTGTTTTTTCACATGACATTGCTAAATAATTAATGATATAGATAGAAAATAGTACGAACTAGTACAAAACTAAATGTGAATGCAATAAATATTTAGCAAATCATTGCACTATGAAATATGTTGAAGATGACATTTTTGTTATGAAATCCCATAAAATGATAAAACCCAACTAAAACATCCATTACAGACACAACTTTAACTAAAAGACTTTCGTTTTTTTTTAAATAAACTAAAGTTTCTGGAACCCTTATGAAATAGGGAAACTAGCTTCGTAATTTTTTAGTCACGGAAGTAGCCCGAATATGGAAATTTGAATTTTCCGAGTTCAGACAATCTTACATGTTTTTGAAAAGGCAAAGCGTTAGCCTAAGAAGTTTCCATGGTCTTAGGCGTCGAGTGCTTATCGAATCTTGACAAAGTGCATTGGGCAGAAAAATAATATTTGCTTTACTCCTTTCCTCACTTCAGAAATGTGCTCTTTCCTTTTAAAGTTTGGCTCAGATTTCTTTGTAACACTAACAGAATTCAAGACATTTAGATGTTGTTAATCTGCTATCAGCTCAACAACTTAGTTACCAAATCAAAATGAAGAAAGACCCCTTACTTTCCATCTGAAATCTCAATCTACAATGGAAATTGCTTCTAACTTGATATCCATGTGTTGACACGGTCTTACCTGAAATGTTCTGGCAGTGTTAGTGTATACATATCTCATTGGCATACGTGATCCTCCTTCAGATTATTGAAGGGCCGCAATTTTTAGTAATGGAGATTTTTTTGGGTAACCAGATCTTTGGCAAAGGGGGCTCTCGCTCTATTATCTGGATAGGTAATTCAAATGTTCAATAAATTTTCATTCTATAGTTGGTGGAACAGATCAAATTGTGACAAATTAAAAATCTAGTTATTTTCTAGTTGGTGGAACAGATCAAATATAGTTGGATAGTTTTATTTATTTTTAGGTTTGAAGAAGGTGCCGAGCAATTCCGGCTCGATGTTTCCAAGAACCCTAATGACACAGAGGAGTCAATATGGTGCTTTCTCTGTGAAGCGCAGTTGTACGGCATTGGTGAAGCCAGAAGAAGGTTTCTTGTGGTAAATAATTAGCAGCACCCTAATACAGCACCCTTCCAACTATTTTGTGGTCAATTGGTTGATCACCTTGCTTGCACATTACTGTGTCCATTAATTGCTCTACACAGGATTTAAGAGAAGTAGAAATATTGCATTGCACATAAAAAGTGAAAAAGAAGTGTAGGTAGGAAACTTCGAAACACAATTAAGGACAGAGAATACAAAAACTAAGGGTGTTGTTGTCATTTCCCAAGCCCTTTTATTCTCAAAAAGAGAAAGTTGAACAAGCATTTGATTCTTTTAACTTGTTATGTTGTTCTCATGCTTGATCAGCGTTCTTACTTTCAACTTAGCATCTTAGCGCAATAATTGCAAGAGGAAATCATTTTTTTAATTTCTTATATCCTTATGAAATACTTAGTTGGGCACTTGGGTGAAAGTTCTGTTAGGTCATCCTGTCAATGAAGACACAAAATGAAGGGACATTCACACTTATATGATGATGACTCCTTTTGAATGTAGGTTGGTACAGATCCAAGACCTGTCATGAGAAAAGCTTATGAAATGTTTAAGAATGGTGGTGATCCAGAAAAGGTTTTTATTATTCCCTTTGTTATGTGTAGTTTAGTTCATTTATGATTGGATTTAACCATTGCTTTACTTAGCTGAGAGACCTCTTTACCTTCAAGGTCCAATATATTTTTTGAATATACCTTTAAGGTCCAATTTATGAATTGAAAGAACACCAAATCCTTGATTGCAAGTATAACAATCTGTATGTAATGCTTCCCGATCAAACTTCAAAGTGACGGGAAATATAATTTAGTTATTGAGCCCACTATTGTCTTTTTTTAGTATAAAAGGTGATTACTAGTTTCAAACAGTTGAAAACACATTAGTGCATCATTTTACAGATTATATGAAGGAGTAACATATGCATGGCCAAAATGGATATATTTTATATATCTATATGTAGTAATCTTGTACATAGTTTACAATATATTTGTATTCATGTAGTGATATCTTTGCTATCTATGCAATTAAGAGAGACTCCTCTAATTGAAGTGATTATTTTGAACCTATAGCTTGTTGCAGCATTTTCAAATGGACAGCCAAATGAGTACTTTTACTCTTCTCTCTATGCTGGACTTTTTTATGAGTCACAGGTTTCACTCGAACTCCAAACATTTTATGTGTTACATTTCATAGGTTGCTTGAGGTGTTAGTTCTGAGGATATAATTTATCAGCTAACTAGCTAAGACAAGGAGATAAAATGAATTAAATGAGTCCCACATCCTTGAGATTTTTTTTTTCAGTTTCAACTGTTTTACTTTTGTACTGGCCAACATACATTTTTTTTACTATCAACAAAAGAATTAATATCCTTGAAATTCACTTTAAGATAAACTAAACAACATTTTACATTTATGATTAATTCTTTACCTCACAAAAGAAAACATGGTTTAGTCTGAACAGGATAAAGATCGTCAAACAGTTGCAGCTGTTTTTACCAAATAAATTCTACACATTTAGCAATTTTAGCCACAAATATCCATTCTGGCTTAATTTTAAGCTTTTTATCTCCTTGCCCGAAGATAATTGCTTGATGATATATTTGATTACTTTTTTTTATCCAGTTGGACTCTGAAAGATCAAAAGGTCATATAATTGCTTCATGTCAATCTCTTTATGGCTCAAGGTACAATGGGATATGCTTATACCTCTCCTCCTACCCACAATGCATAAGCGCATTAGCGCATAACCATAAGCTGATAAGCCATTTGTTATTCTTTGATATGGCACTTGTAGAATGCGTAACAGAAGCATAGGGAAGACTGGAAGAGCTAATTGGTTTTATCTGCAGGTCGGACGATTACATGGTTTCTCTTGCCAAAGTTCACTGTCAATGTCGGAACTGGAACTTTAAATAGACCTGAGATATATGTTCAGCAAATGGCTTTGCCTCATTCTAAGACTTATTAGTGGGTGTAGGGAGATATAATGACTCTTAATTAAAACTTGTAAAAGGTATGCTCCCATGTCCCAAAATAAGCTCCGATCTTTCTTTTTTGTGAATAAAAACTTCTCTTTTCTTGCATCACCAACATTCTCTAAGTTATACGGAGTACTACGTATTATTTGATGCTCGCTTGTACAATTTTTCACTTTTAATACCTGTTGTCATGTCAAGAATGTCTTCCACAATAGAGCTTATTTGGTGTAAATACTAAATAGAGTGCTATTTGAATTTCGGTGCATAAGGTACCCATGCCGTAATATTTTTAAATAGAAGCTTGAATACAAGTTTTAGAACTTGGTAAGATATTTCTAATGAAAGTTAAAACTCTAGAAACACATCAAATATAGCAAAATATGATCAAGTCAAATACTACACGTGTTTAAAGTCAACTTGTCAAATGTCAATGATTTTAATTTATGTGCAATACTTACTCATCCTTTAATAACTTGTAAATGAAGTTTGGCTACGAGTATTGGAACTTAATAAGATATTTGCAACTAGATATAAAACATTTCAAATAGAATGAAATACAGCAAGATTCGATCTACATGGTAAATAAAATCTCAATGCAAGTTTTAGAAATCAAAATATCTTCTTACAATATACATAAAGCTTGAGATGGAAAAAATATACGGCAAGATATCATCAAAGTAAACACTTGGCATGTTTTTATGTAAATATATAGGGGTGGCCCGGGACCGGTCTGACCGGCTTGGGACCTGGAACGACCGCCACTGTGCGGGCCTGGCCCGGCCCGATTGTCCGGGACCGGGCCTAGGACCCGACCTAGGGGTGTTGTGGGGGCGGGCTCGGGCTGTAGCCCCCTTGGAACTAGCCTAGCCGGTCTGGGACCGGTCCTGGACCTTTTTTTGGGGTTTTTTTTTGACTGGTTTGGGTAAGAGGCGGGTTGGGCTGGGTAGTTTGGGGGTGTTTGGGGGTGAGAATATATAAAGCAAAAACAAAACAAAAATTATAGTACCCGACCCGGCCTGGTCCTGGAACATAGTTGGGCCGGTCCCGGGCCTTCATTTCACAAACCTGGACACGCTCTAAGCCCAACCCGGGACCGGTCCATCCCTGTGTAAATATAGCATTTTCATAGTAAAAGTAGCATACATATATGGTGTAAATAGAATCTGTTATTCGAATCTCGGTGCATAGGGGTGGACTGGGATGGCACCGGGCCGGGCTTCGGGACAGGACTGAGCGGGATCGAGCTTAAGTATTTCAGGCCCGGTACTGGCTCGGGTATGCTTCGGGACCGGGACTGTTCCAGGCCTAAATAGTACAGTGCCGTGCCTAAACAGTACTGAGGTCGAGCCGTCCCATCCTGTCCCTATCGGTGCATACGGTGCCAATCCCGTATTATTTTAAATCGAAGTTTTGTAACTTAATAAGAACTTTCCAATGAGATATATATTGCTTGAAATGCAACAAAATGCAAGATATTACCAAATTAAGTGCTGCATCTCTTGAAATTGACTATTTTTAATTTTGATTTCGTAACTCTATTATTTTTAAGGGGTAATTTGAGTTTACACCCCAAATTATAGTCTAAATTGGGGTTTACACCCCAGTTTTAAAAATCTTTGTTTTCGCACCCCAACCCCATTTGAAAGAACAAAAATGCCCCTCCATTAATAATTTTGTTGACCTTCAACACATTCTTGATTGAAGGCATTTTATCTTTTCATATGGGATTGGGGTGCAAAAACAAAGATTTTTGAAAACGGGATGCAAAGTCCAATTTAGACTATAATATGGGGTGCAAACTCAAATAACAATACGGTCATTAAATTGTCATTAACTATATTTCTTAAATAGTTATACGGTCATTTTTCTTTGCAAGCAAAACTCTCGTGTAATCAAATAACAAACTATTACCTAATATTCTGGAAATAAAAAGAGCATGAAACAAAACAAAAAAAAAGCAAAAAAAAAACATTGAGCCAGTAGTTTATAAATGGGAGTGACCCATTAAAGAGACCAAGACCATAGTGAAACAAAGTACTCGAGAGAAAAATTCAAAGTGGGTTTAACCCATCCTAGCAGTACTCTTGCCCAAGCACATTTAAATTCAGAGTTCTTATGAGATCTCGTGTGTTAGTGCTGGTATGTTCACATCAAACTCTTTTTTAATTGCGTATAATTGGAGCTTAAGCCCGTGGCAGAGCTAGAAACATAAGGTTAAGAGGGTTGGAGCTTAAGTTACATATATAGCGGAGGTCTAAAATTAAAATTTCAATATATTTTTACTGTTTATAAATATTTATACACACACATAGGGAGTTCAAATAAAAGACCTCTTCCCGTGCAAAGTGCGAAGATATGCACTTTTTCATGTTTCGCTTGCACTTTTTCATGTTTCTATTGCACTTTTTCACGGTGGCGAAAAAGTGCAACATATTTACGAAATTGCCACCGGGATTTTGGTCAAATTTTGTGCATTTTTGACTCATTTTGAGCTATTAGATCGATGTGGAAATGAATGCAGAAGTTATATTGACACCTTGTTTGGAAAGACCAATTTGTATTTGAGCCATCTCCATTTAGAGGTTTTTGTATATGAAATTCGGAATCTGATTTTACATCAAATATTTTTCATACTTAAAATGATACCGCGTATTTTATTAAAAGAATTTTTGACCATTTTAATAACTAAACTGGTGAATCATAAAAGAAAACTGGTTAATTTAAGATTCTACATACATACTGTTTACAAAATATTTATTTCATTTCAGATCGAATTGGAAACTAGAATTTCTTAAAAACATGTTTCGTTGGACTAAATGCACTTTCAGGTTATTCGTTCATTACTAATTACGCATATATATCGAATGTTAATTACGCTCAATTTAAAATGCACTATATACATACATACATACATACATACATACATACATACATACATACATACATACATACATACATACATACATACATACATACATACATACATACATACATACATACATACATACATACATACATACATACATACATACATACATACATACATACATACATACATACATACATACATACATACATACATACATACATACAGAATGAAGGTAATTATATACATGCATGCATGCATGCATGCATGTATGTATGTATGTATGTATGTATATAGTGCATTTTAAATTGAGCGTAATTAACATTCGATATATATGCGTAATTAGTAATGAACGAATAACCTGAAAGTGCATTTAGTCCAACGAAACATGTTTTTAAGAAATTCTAGTTTCCAATTCGATCTAAAATGAAATAAATATTTTGTAAACAGTATGTATGTAGAATCTTAAATTAACCAGTTTTCTTTTATGATTCACCAGTTTAGTTAATAAAATGGTCAAAAATTCTTTTAATAAAATACGGGGTATCATTTTAATTATGACAAATATTTGATGTAAAATCAGATTCCGAATTTCATATACAAAAACCTCTAAATGGAGATGGCTCAAATACAAATTGGTCTTTCCAAACAAGGTGTCAATATAACTTCTGCATTCATTTTCACATCGATCTAATAGCTCAAAATGAGTCAAAAATGCACAAAATTTGACCAAAATCCCGGTGGCAATTTCGTAAATATGTTGCACTTTTTCGTCACCGTGAAAAAGTGCTACAGAAACATGAAAAAGTGTAAGCGAAACATGAAAAAGTGCATATCTTCGCACTTTGCATGGGAAGGGGTCTTTTTATTTGAACTCTTCCCTATGTGTGTGTATAAATATTTATAAACAGTAAAAAATATATCGAAATTTTAAGTTTAGACTTCCGCTATATATGTAACTTAAGCTCCAACCCTCTTAACCTTATGTTTTTGGCTTTGCCACGGGCTTAAGGGCCACGGGCTTTGATTATCTTCCATCACGCAGTTATCTTCCAAAAATCGTTTGACTGCCTTCCCGATTGAATTTATTGCTGAAATTTGGTACTTGGTCTCTCTAACGATTTTAATCATTGGAAATATTAACAGAAGGACCGTATATGAGCGAAAATTAAAAGTCATGTACCAAAAATGATCAAGGTCAAAGACATGGACAAATGATGTTTTTACTTCGATTGTTTTGACTCCTAGACCAGACTATACCAAATTAGACTGGACCAGACCAATCAAATCAGACTTGGATAGTTATAAAATACACAGAGACTAGAGTTTACCAGAACAGACTAGTCCAGGCTAGACCAACCACAAAATTTCAATCCAATTAAAGACATTCTTATTAAATGTGAAATTGGTGTGATATTCATAGGATCAAAAATAGAATTTATTCTTCTATTTACTACGGAGTATAAATTTAAAAGTTAAGGTGATTGGAAATGGCACCTTATTTATTTTAGAAGGAATTAAAAATGATAGGATCGGAGATAAAATAGTCTTCTTATTGTAGCAATTAATTTTATCTTTAAGAAAATCCGAGATGATGTTTATCTTTAACTATTAGGTATATATATACTCTTCCGGTCCCAAATGAACTTCACACTTTGATTTTATGGTTTTTTTAAAAAGTGAGATTTTTTGCTTTTGACTTTCCTATTTTCGTTTCATTAATTATTATGGGTAAAGGTTTGGTCCCCCCGTTGTATTCGCTTCTCTATTTTATTAAAACTCGGTAAATGTTCCCCAACATTTACCTCTCTGATTTTGGTGGTTTGCCTAATGAGTTAAAAAAAACTTACGAAAAATGAAAGTGTGAACTTTATTTAGGAACTGCCTATAATGGAAATGTGAAGTTTATTTGGCACATGAGAGAGTATATTACAATTCAATATATAGACTTCGAAAATCTACTCCCTCCATCCTACAATTAGAGCAAGTCTCAGTTTGACTTTATGGTCTTCTAGGTGGTCGTTTGACCATAGTTATCTATAAATATATACATATGTGATCTATAATTAATAAATTAACACTTGAATAACACATACAGAAATGAAGTATATAAAACTTATTTTGTGTGATAAAGTTTTGTTAATTTTGAGCACTTGATGGTCAAAGTTTAAGAAATTTGATTCAAAAGTCAAAATGGGACTTTATATGAAGGAAGTATGTCACTCCCTCAATGCATGAAATTTTTTTCTACTTACCTTCTTGGAACGTCCCAACAAGTTCTTTCTGTTTCCCTTTTTAGAAAGGTTTGTGCGGCTACCATTCATATTTTTTTTCTTATTCAACCACAATCACACATCTTCACTTTATACACATGTATAAACCTTTCCGATGTAACAAAAAATATATACACATGTATGAGCACTACAATAGTTGCAATGAAAATAGATAACTATTTTAATGTTTTTTTTAACCCGGAAGACAAATCACCAAAATCAGTGGGATAAATGTCGAGGAATAGTTACCAAAGTTTTATTAAACATAAAAAGGGGTACTAAAGAAGGGGGGATTATACCAAAACCCCTTCAAAGAAGGCAAACCTTCTCGAATAACTATAATACATGTTTATATCATAATAAAAGGACTATTTCTCAAATGCCAGTATGCGTGCCAACGACTACGATCAAAATTCTAAAACAAATAATCCTCAAAAGAATCAATGTTTGAAACCCAAAATGAGTTGTCAACATCTTGAGGTAGCACACACATGGAAGTAAGATGTTGGATCCAAATACGTTAAGAATTTCTCGAATAAGTGATGTGATTATCCCAAAATATGGAAATGCAAGAGCCACAACAGTTGTTGTGGTGACTAAACATGTTCTCACTATAATGCGGATGTGTCTCCTATTATACTGCTCCGACAATAGAGATTCAAATGCTCTTGCGACTTGCGTGATGATCGGGAAAAATTTGGCAATTGGCCTTACTAGTATTGTGTAGATTACTATTTTTGAGTTCAATTTTTTAGATGGGAGATTTAAAGTTATTTGTGGAAGCACATTTTTTCCAAACATCAGGTACCCAAATGCAGCCACATATACATAAGTAAGCGTGTTTATACTTAAGATAGCATTATAGCAATCATAGCTTGCGAGAATATATTAGTCACTTGAGGAAAATCATTGATGTAATCAAATACAGAGTCATGCTTTGTGTGCACACCAAAATGTGTACACACCAATTTAACACGCCCATACAGACAATTCTCTTAGAAGTTCTGATTTTTTTTAACGAATTGTGTGTTTGCATAGACAATTAGGGGTGGACGTGTATAAAAACGTCTAATTTGGCGTGTACAATCAGAAAAGTCCTAAAACAAAACCAAACAAACAACATCAATACATCAGTACCCAACCATATCTTAACTTTTATATATTTAAGTGAAGAAACATTTTATCGTCAAGTGTATATATGTTACACTGTTTTGCATCCATAACTTTGAGCACTACGGTAGCTTAATATGTAAACTTCGTTTTCACATATATGAGCTTGTAACTAACATGTTTGTATTTATTGAATTTAAACATTTTAAATATAATCAAATTTTCTAAATTTAATTTCATATAAATAAATATTCAAAGATTTATGCTGCCTTAGAGAATTTGTCCTTGCGTTCCATCGAAGAGTATATAATAGGAAAAATAGGATGCCCTCCGTATGCGAATGCGAATAAGCCAAGTATTGTGGGCACACCGCGAAGTCGAAACAAGTCTCCTTGATGTGAAAGCATCAAAGTAGATAGACAAATTAAAGGCTTTCAAATAACAAGTGTTGATAAAACACCAGTTGCTGATAAATAAGCCAATAAGTTTAGGTTATCCAACCAAATAGTTGGCAAAAGAATGAGTTTGGAGGCTAAAATAAACATCTTTTGACCATCAATATGATGTTTTCCCAATTGAAGAGCAATATGGGGGAACATATTGTGTAGGTTATCGCCTTGTAAGATTAAAAATCCTATTGGTACCACAGACAACTCTATGTAGATAAGAGATGAAGTTAATATTCTTCCGCGGCATCGAAAAGCTCTCTCTCCAATATCTGGATATGTAGCAATAGTGGGCATTATTGGTGAATTCATATCCATGCACATTTGGATTAGTATATATGTCTGCATAGCATGTTATTACAGCCACAAGAACTAGAAATCCCCGGCTTAGCCATCCGGCCACAACTAGCGCGTACGACAACGTAATCAAAGAAATTCCTATAAAAGGTCAAACAGTTAATTGATTATCTATGAAAGAATATGGGAAAACAACAACAAGAACTTTAAAGCGAATGCACAATAAATACAGGGTGAGTTTAATTGCTCCGAGGATTAGATGTATACAAAAGTGGACATTTGGTGTTCCGATTTTTTTCCAATTATTTGGCCTAAACTAAGGTGAAAAAATCGGAACACCAAATGTCCAGTTTTGTATACATGTATTCCTCAGAGCAATTAAATGCTCCCATAGGAATTTCTTTGATTACACTTTCGTACGCGCTAGCTGAGGCCGGATGGTTAAGCCTGTGATTTCAAGTTCTTGTGGCGGTAATAACATGCTATGCAGCCATATTAATCCAAATGTGCATGGGTATGAATTCACCAATAATGCCCACTATTGCTACATATCCAGATATTGGAGAGTGGATACCACATAAGAATATTAACTTCATCTCTTATCTACTTAGAGTTCTTTGTGGCCCCAATAGAATTTTTAATCTTAGAACCCGATAACCAACACAATATGTTCCCCCATATTGGCCTTCAATTGGGAAAGCATCATATTGATGGTCAAAAGATGTTTATTTCAGTCTCGAGACTCATTGTTTTGCCAACTGTTTGGTTGGAAAACCTAAACTTATTGGCTTATTTATCACCAACTTTGTTTTATCAACACTTCTTATTTGCAAGCCTTTAATATGCCTATCTATGTTTGATGGTGTTAGGCTTTCACATCAAAACACTTGTTTCGACTTTGCGGTCTGCCCACAACACTTGGCTTATTCGCATTCGCGTACGGAGGGCGTCCTATTTTTCCTACTATATACTCTTGGATGGAACGCAAGGACAAATTCTCTAAGGTAACACAATTCTTTGAATATTTATTTATACGCAATTAAATTTATAAATTTGATTATATTTAAAATGTTTGAATTCGATAAATACAAACATGCTAATTACTAGCTCATATATTTGAATATGAGGTTCAAATGCTAAGCTGACGTAGTGCTCAAAGTTATGTATGCAAAACAATGTAACATACACTTGATGATATTGTGTTTCTTCATTTAAATTAAAGTTAAGATATGGTCGGGCACTGATGTACTGATGTTGTTTGTTTGGTTTTGTTTTAGGACTTTTCTGTTCATACACGCCAATTTAAACGTTTTTATACACGTCCACCCCTAATTGTCTATGTAAACACGCAATTTGTTATAAAAAAACAAAACTGCTAAGAGAGTTGTCTGTGTGGGCGTGTTAAATTGGTATGTACACGTTTTGGTGTGTACAAAAAGCACGACTCTTTATTTGATTACGTCAATGATTTTTCCTCAAGTAATTAATATATTCTCGCAGGCTATGATTACTATCTTAAGCGTAAACACACTTGTTTATGTATATGTGGCTGCATTTGGGTATGTGATGTTTGGGATAAATGTGCTCCCACAGATAACTTTGTATCTCCCATCTGAAAAAGTTGAGCTCAAAAATAATAATCTACACAGTACTAATAGGGCCAATTGCCAAATTTTCCCCGATCATCACGCGAGTCGCAAGAGCATTTGAATCTCTATTCTTAGAGCAATATAATAGGTGACACATCTGCATTATAGTGACAACATGTTCAGTCACCACCACAAATGAATCTCTTGCATTTCCATATTTGAATCTCTTGCATTTCCATATTTTGGGATAATCACATCACTTATTGGAGCAATTCTTAACGTATTTGGATCCACATCTTACTTCCATGTCACCATGTGTGTGCTACGTGAAGATATCGACAACTCATATTTGGGTTTGAAATATTGATTGTTGTGGGGATTATTAGTTTTAGGATTTTGATTGCAGTAGCGGCACATATACTGGCATTAGAGAGATAGTCCTTTTATTATGATATAAACATGTATAATAGTTATCTCTTTTCATCGCAACTGGTGTAGTACTCATACATTTGTATATATTTTTTTGTTACATCGTTTATACATGTTAATTATTTTGTATCTATATCGTGCCATTTATCAGGTTTTATAATGCAACGATTTTTGTGCGAAAAGAATTGGTTTCATTGCGAGTACAATTGCTTGAATGTGTATACATACATTTCCTTTTAAATGTTGTCTCCACTGAAGCACCATTATTTCTTAACTTTTGCTCTCTATATCCATGTTATTGAATTTAGAATTAATAGGAGAATGCAAACCAATAGACATTGAAAACTAACTAATTTAACTCAAATAAATCCTTGCAAAGTTTATATAATCTAAAGTAGGCTTGAATGAGTGATTTCTCAAATAAGGACTAAAGTCAAGAACTATAATTTTATATCACTTACTATAACATTACTCCGATAATATTCTTTTACATAATGATAACAATCTATATATATTATAAAAGAGAAAAGTGGGAGGAAGCCTTTAGGCGGGAACACTTTAGCATATTGGGAATAATCTTGCAAATAATAATCTGGAAATTGTTTTTATAAGCGTAACTCACACGAGAAGTTCTTGATGCACGGCGTGCTCAAGAAAGAGAAACATTGATGGTTGTGCAAATACAATATCCTAGAATTAGATACGGAGTATATTAAATGAGCCTGCTGCAAATGATTTTTGGCTTTTTGAATTCCGAGAACCAACTGCCTGACCATTTTGCTCTTGCCAATGTTTTGTGACTCTTCAAAATCCCATTTTAAAATGATTTCCGACCCGATAGTAGCAAAAACATTAAAAAAAAACAATAGAGTTGGGTAGCATGATTATATTAAACCGTGATGGTTGCTGATTATGTTTTCCGAGGCAACAACATTTTGAATATGCATGGGCTTTTAGAATTTCATTGGAGGTTACATTTAATACTGTTTCTTAGCCTCTGAAATTTCGAGAAGCTCCATCTATATAAATCGGTTTGTTTACATTCCATCCAAACTGCATACCACAACTGCTCTTTATTGGATAATTCTTGTTAAGGAATTAAATAATTTGTTTGTTTATGCAAGGATGAAAATACTATATGATACACGTGTAATTTCCGGGTGTATGTTTACGTTTTTTGTTAGTTTTGGTTGTTTAATATTTCGGAAATTACACACTTTTGGTGTAATAGTTATGTTTGTAAAATTGCTGTAATATGTTTAGATTAGATTTATTCTGAGCTTAAACAGGTCCATGATCAATCAAATGATCATTGGTGAAGGAAGGTGCAAAAGTACAAGACAAAAAGGAGGCAAAATCCTGATTTTTGACCTGTACCCGGTCGAGTATACCATATACTCGATCGGGTACCAACTGGACTTTCAATCAGATCAATCAGGAGACAAAGAGGTGTGCAGGGGAAGATTTGGCCACGATCAGTTCTCATATCCGATCGGGTACACCGACACACCCGATCGGATATGCCTTTTATTTTCACTCCGAATTCGATCGAGTATGCCTCAAAACCACACTTTTTACACATACCCGATCGGGTATACATCAGTACTCGATCGGGTACCCGAACTGCACTCCCAAAAAGCCTATAAATACACCTTCTTCCCTTCACAACAAAAAACCAATTCCTATATACTCTTAAACTCAGTTTAGAATAGCATTTCTTTATATTGTTCTAGCATGTTTAGTCTCCAAATGAGGAGCTAAACTTCCATTTCTTGGTATTGCTCTTGAAGCTTGTTGATTATTAAAGTTGTGAGTTATTTTCTTAACTTCTTTCCTTGAATATTAATTCTTCTTTTAAATACTATTTCTATATCAATGTTGGGGAGTGTTACTAAGATGACAACTAGTTAACATCTTGACATTGGTCTTAGTAATAGCTATTTCTTCCTCTATGTTAATGTTGGGGAGTGTTACTAAGATGACAATTAGTTAACATCTTGATATTAACTATAGTAGGATTCATCTTCTTTAATATTCTTCCTTGAGTATAAATTAATTCCTATTCATATTTCATATTAATATTTTGAACATTACTTAAAGGATCAACTAGTTTTGTTTCATATATTAATTATTACTAGAAACGATCAACGAACCAATGGTTAATCGTTGATAGTTTCACAAGTAAGTAACTTCGGTTTATTAATGCACGGTCGTGGTTAATAAACTTAAGAGGGATTAAATTGGTTGGTTAAACCGAAATCGTTGTGTTGAGGTTATCAATCTCAATTGATTTCATCAAGGAGTTAAGAGATTAAATGATACTATCAAGTCGGTATATGGTGTTGTTCTATACATGACAAATAGTAAGAGTTATTAATGAACGGTCGTTATTAATAACTACCCTCGATGAATTGGATATACTCCTCGATTGTGTATTCGAGAGGAGATAAGTTATAGATATAACAATGATCTACTGAAATATATCAACAAGTGGAAAGTAGCAATGTCAAGTCCCTTTTATTCTTGAATTTAATCCCATATAAGTCATTCATCTTTGTATTTAATTATATTAAATCACTCAATCAAAAAAACCCCATTTATTTACTAGTTCTATACAAAGAGAGTTATTCCTTTCCATGTGGATACAAACTCTAGTTCACTATACTACGTATTAGTGCTAGTATTGAATATTATTTTGACGCACCGTGACAAAGTGCTCGTCACTATACGTACTACCTCCGTTCTTATATAAGTGCAAGATGTTGAATTTTACTTTATTCAAAAGTTCTACTTTGACTACGTTTTATATATTAATGTATTAATAATTTTTGAAAAACTATTGTTAAATTTGTCTCATTATAAATTTTTAAAACCTGGTTGTTTTAATCTTTTAGTAATAGAGAATTATATATATTAATGGTTAAAGTTGTGCATCAACAAATAGGCAAAATTGGCTGTTGCACTTATTTAAGAACGGAGGAAGTAATTAATAATGTAATATTTAGGGATTAGTTTGCAATATTATATAACTCTGTTTTATTATACAAATATAAGGCTAAGGCACCCAATAGGGTAAGACATTATTCTCCCAATTATATTTTTGTATATGGTATCAGTCGCTTAGGTTTTTTGTTCTCTCTCTCTATCATGGTCGACGACCAACTCCACGCCGCCTCTCTGCTGGCGCCCTCCCAACAGGCGCAGCTGCAAGTCATCGGCAACTCGGCTTCTTGGGTGCCTGTCCCACAGGTGCAGCCCTCGTCCGGGGTGGTTGACAGTACCACCGGAACAAGTTCTTCGTTCTACGTCAGCTCCAGCAGCGCGACTGCATCCCTGGGATCATCCAACTCGTTTTCTACCGTCGTGACCAGAGTTGCGCAGCCCACGTGGTCTCCGCTTGCAGCCCCTCTTCGACAACGGTTGACGGAAATCCCAACTCTTGATTCTTACAGGTTATTCCACATGCCGGAACCATTCTCCTGGACTCCAACCGCTAGTCTGCCGCCGTCTCCAATTCTGTCCGACATCAGGGGTTCCTTTTCTGGACACCCTAGTGTCAACCCACTACCGAATGCAGTGCACTCCATCGCCCCAGGTTCTAGTACTCCTTCGAGCTCTCTATCTATTTTATCATCACAATTGGCATTTTCAACGCCAAATGTGACGAACATTGTGATCACCCGATTGTTTGTTGTGGAAGATTATTTACCGTGGCGTACCCAATTTGAGTCCTTCTTAGTCTCCCATACTCTTCTTGGGATCGTGGATGGCTCAATTTGGGTGCCATCCCCTAACTATGCTCGATGTTACTAGACGTGAAATTCCTAATCCGGACTATCATCATTGGCTGAAGATAGATTAAACGGTTAGGTCTTGGATTTTTGCTACTCTTGCTAGAGATATTTTGATGGAGGTGTATGATTTGAAATTTTCCCATCTTATTTGGGAACGTCTTGAGAGTCGTTTTATGTTTGCCTATTTTTCTCGTTCTGTCGAACTTAAATGTTCTTTATCTCATGTTAAAAAGAAGGGAAAAGGGTCAAATAGGTCTGCGAACTTACATTAAAAAGTCAAATAAGTCCTTATATAGGAGGTTCTGTCCGGCCGTCATCATTTGGGGCGGTTCCCGGTGGGATTTTTTGATGCATTGTTTTGAGCATCTTATTCATTAAGTCTAGTTTACTCATACCGCATTTCAGCTAAAACTTCAATCAGGAAGGCATATCATTCAAATTAATTCTTGAAGATAACTGCGCAGTTTATTCAAAAGTGCAGTTATTTTCAAGAATTAATTTGATGCCTTCCCGATTGAAATTTTAGCTGAAATTTGGTATGAGTAAACTAGACTTAATGAATAAGATGCTCAAAAAATTTCATCATAAAATTCCCCCGGGAACCGCCCCAAATGACGACGGTCGGACAAAACCTCCTATATAAGAATTTATTTGATCTTTTTATGTAAGTTCGAGGACCTATCTGACCCTTTTCCCTAAAAAGAAAGATTCATAGACTATGGATCAATATTTCCTGGAAATTAAGCTTATGGCAGATGCACTTGCAATGATTAATTATCATGTTAGTAACCAAGACTTAATGGAATATGCTATTATGGGGTTGGGTCGTGAGTATGAATCTCTTATCACGATAGTTTCCTATTTTCCTGGGAATGCCACACTTGAGTCTTTGTGGCCGATTCTACAAGCTCAGGAACAACGGAATGCCGTCATCTAGAACCAAGACCCTTCGACAGTCAATCAAGCATTTGTGGCAGCTCTTGTATAGCAGGCTGTGGGCCTACCCCTCGTGGCAATGACGGTGGTGCACATCGTGGACAAGGCGGCAATGGCAACCGAGGTGCCAGACCTCGTGGTGGGCGCTATCGCGGGGGTCATAACTATTATCAGTCGTTTCAACTGCAGTTTGGTGGCTATCTGGCCTATGGTGTACCTTACAGAAAACTGGCTCCTCCTCCACGTGGTCCTCCATATCCTGGTGGCGCAAGTTTGGTATTAAGTAATGTTAGTTCTAGTTATGGTTTTACTAATCACTTTCCTACTTGTGTTACTCATAATGTTAGTGCAGGTTTTCCATCTGTTGAAAATTCCTATCAATCACCTGCTCCGGCAGTTGTCTGTCAACTTTGCTTCTCTCCAAGTCACTCCGCGATTACTTATTCCCATTTCACAGCTTAAAATACTCCTGCGCTTGCGGCTCTTCCCACCGGTGAGACGCATGATTCGGTCTAGTATCCTTTTTCTGGGGCTTCCGCGCACATGACTCCTCATGAAGGTATGTTTTCTTATAAAATATCTTACACCGGCCCGAATCAACTTTGCGTTGCTAATGGTACCAAATTGCCCATTTCTAATGTTGGTCAAATTAAATTAGTCAGACATGGTCAGTGGCATATCCACTATGGGGGCAGCGGGGGCAGCTGCCCCCACTCAACCCCAACCCAACCCCTATATATGTCCAAAGTTTTACGAGAAATTGCTCAAATTAAGAGTTAAATGTAGAAAAAAAATTCTAAAATAGGATTAGAAGTGTTTTCTTTAATATTAAAAGAATGAAAGGCTAAAAAATTCACTAAATTTTGCTATGTTTAAGACTGTTTAACTTATATTTAGGTAAATTTATTACATTTTATCTGCAATTACATCTTTACACACCCGTAATATAAATTAATCTTCTTTTTATTCATACTTGTACATAAATATTATAAACTAAAGTTAATCAAACAATATTAATAATGTGATTTGTTATTTGTGAAATATGAGACTAAATTGTAGTCAAGTTTGCCCCCCACTCGCCAAATTTTCTGGATACGCCACTGCACATGGTCGTCCACTATATCTTAACTCCGTTTATCATGTCCCACACATTAAATATACTCCCTCCATTCCCAAAAATCCTTCTCGGTTTAAAGTCACTCACAATCAAGAAAGGAGATGGGCACAAACAAGATAAGTTAAGTTTATATACATATGGCAACAACATGAGTATTGAATGAGATGAAACAGAACCACACCTTTGCGGACAAAGAAGAGGAATAAGAAGATAAAATGAATTCAATTAGCAATTACCGGCGATATAAGCTTAGCGATAAACATCCGCTGACATAAACAGTGAAAAAGAGACCGACCCATGACCTTCTTTTTGCTAGAGAACATGTACGATGAGATGGTCTAGGGCTATGGAGAAGACAATCACAGCCAATTACTACAGAGTACATGATTGCTCTTTTTTCCATCCATTCCTCCAAAGGCTCTGTTTGCATATTAATGAAACTGTAACCTGTAATCCGCATGTTAGTGTCTATTCGTTCGAACTGCACACAACAATTTGGTGAGACTACAGTTATTACTCATTTTTATATTTTCCAGTCCACCTTGTTCAAACCTTTTGTAACCAATTAGTTTGTATAGTCAAGGATTTCATGGTTAACTGTTCGGCAGAATGCTTTAACCACATTTAGAATTTAGGATTTAGGTGTACACTACAAATCTACAATGACCTCTTATATAAAACTAATCTTTCTTGAATATAACAATGCTCATTCAAAATGGTTACTAAAGATTATTAAGAATTTGTACTCCTTTAGTAATTGATACTGAAAAGTATTTTGCTTTACTTTAAACAACAAAGTGTGTTTATAATTTTTTATTTTTCCATGAATAGATGTGCAGTGAAGTTGCAAAGTAAAAGAAGTCT